TTTTTTTTAAAGATTTTATTTTTTTATTTGACAGGTAGAGTTACAGACAGTAAGAGAGAGAGAGAGAGAGAGAGAGAGAAAGGTCTTGCTTCTGTTGGTTCACTCCCCAAATGGCCGCTATGGCCAGAACTACACCAATCCGAAGCCGGGAGCCGGGTTCTTCCTCCCAGTCTCCCATGCGGGTGCAGGGGCCCAAGCACTTGGGTCATCTTCCACTTCCCTCCCGGGCCACAGCAGAGAGCTGGACTGGAAGAGGAGCAACCGGGACAGAATCCGGCGCCCCAACCAGGACTAGAACCCAGGATGCCTGCGCCACAGGTGGAGGATTAGCCAAGTGAGCCACGGCGCTGGCTTTCTAAGGCTTAAAGCACTTCAACGTTACAATAAAAAGCTTCCTCTTGAGTTTGCTCTGCTTCAAGCTCTCTGCTGTGGCCCGGGAAGGCAGTGGAGGATGGCCCAAGTGCTTGGGCCCTGCACCCCGTGGGAGACCAGGAGGAAGCACCTGGCTCCTGGCTTCGGATCAGTGCAGCTCCAGCCGTAGCGACCATTTGGGGAGTGAACCAATGGAAGGAAGACCTTTCTCTCTGTCTCTCTCTCTCACTGTCTAACTCCATCTGTCAAATAAATAAAAAAAAAAAAATTGTGTAGACTCGACCTATGCATTCCCCACCCCCACCCCCCACCACAAGTAGTTAAGGCACCACTGATTTATGCCAGGAGGCTGTAGGTCAGGCCACAGGTTGAGTCAGAAGCAACACTGATAGACAGAACTTGTCTGCAGGGGTGCACTAAGGCTTGTTCCACAGGCTCCTCAGCTGCATTTCTCACTTAACGTGAAGTGCGCTGGCTAAGCAGTTGCTTTTCTGGGTGCAGGCTCATTTGAGGAAAGTCTGCCTCACAGGATCTGGGCCTGCACTCTCCATCTGAGGCCCTTGATTCTCTCTTAACTCCAAGAGATCAGAATCCAAGCGTTCCAGGTCCAAGGCACCTGACCCGGAGTAGGACCTTGCTGCCATGAAGCTCCAGGCCACACAGTTTGGAGTGCGGACACATTTCGGGGGTGCTGGCTGTATGCTCGTTCAGTAGGACTGCCTTATAGCACAGAAGCCAAAGATTCCCAGCGTTACAGCCTCAGTTGCACCAGTAACCTACTCAAGCCAGCTTTCACTCAGCCAAGTCCTGTGGTTATTATGAATGCTCAGGGCAACACTGACTCCTGCCAGGAATGGCAAAACAATGAAACACAGTCCCCGCCCTCAAAGAGTCAGCTATATCTTTGTAAGTAAGATTCACACAGGGAAACATCGAGATCTTACATGGCCGCATGTGATTCATGCGCCATGAGTCAGCCAGAACGCAGTTCCTGTGGTGAGCTAGGGAAGTGACCTATGGCCAAGCTGCAGCACTCCTAATACCTGCTCAGACCAGATGGTTACCCATGGCTAATCCCCACACAAAGGCTCCTTTTAGGCACAAAGTTTGGTTACATTTCCCTGGCACACAGTCCACGGCAAGATGTACTTTTCATGGATCAGAATTACAGCAACAAGAAAATAAAACAGAGGCAATTAACCCCACAAAATCAAGAGATCGAGGAACAAGGCTTTTTCCCAGTAAGCGTTCTGCAGTTGAGAGTTTTGCAGAATGCCCCCAAGAGTGTCCTTCACCGTAGCCAAGGCTTATTGCCATTGTGTCACAGGTGCGCACTCTTGGGGTCGGATGGGGAAGTGTCTCAGTAACTGGCTCCTTCCACAGCATGGTCCAGAGCTGGCCATTTGCCTTCTGGGGTTTTCCAATTCGCTTCAAAAAAAAAAAAAGTTCTCAACAGCTTGGCTTCCCCAGAAGAACAGCAACGTGTCCGTGGAGAAGCTTCCCTTCAGGGGTCTTCGACACACACCTGCCCCCAGGAAGCCACACTCAGCCAGGCAAATGACAAGCAGAACAGGGAAGATGATTGATTCTTATCAACACGCAGGTGCTGTGTGACGCTTGGCACCTCATCGTTGGTATTAACAACTGTAGGCTAATGATGGGTCACAATGTTTGTCCATTCACAGATATGCCTTTGTGGTTAGACAATTTAAAAACAGCTCCTGGCAAGTGGTTTTGTTCTCCCACATCCTGCTTTCCAATTTCACACTCACAGATACACAAGAGAAGATATTTTGTCTCCTTTTTGACTGCTAGTTCTTATCCCTTGAAAGGCTAGTGAATAACTCAAGTTCTGCCTGCCTAAGCTCTCCAAAGGATGACTCCATTGCCACATAAGGAAGCTAAGAATCCTTGATAAGGAATTTGGCTTGGAATACACCTGATGGCAATGCTTAGATCATTACCTTGGACTGACCCAAATAAGTTTCAGAACCAAATTTTAGTGATGGTCATTACTCTTTACATCAATGCCTCTTACTTCATGCCTTGTGCTTTTCCATGCATATCTTACTTAGCTGCAGTCCTTTATGAGTGGGCATTATTTCTACTGTTTTGCAAAAAGAGGAAACTTGGGATCAAAGGAGTTAAGTCACTTGTGCCAGTTGGAGTGTACACTTAGGATCGCCAGTTGTTCACCACAGCTCAGGTTGTTTGAAAAGGTTACTGGCTGGCTTAGGGAAATGTGACTTCAACTTCTTGGAAAAAGAGTAAAAATATCAAGACCAGGCCGGCACTGTGTCATAGCAGGTCAAGTTGCTGCCAGCAATACTGGCATCCCATATGGGTGCTGGTTCAAGTCCTGGCTGTTCCACTTCCAATCCAGCTCCCTGTCGATGTACCTGGGAAGGCAGCAGAAGATAGTCCAAGTCTTTGGGCCCCTGCACCCATGTGGGAGACCCAGAGGAAGCTCCTGGCTCCTGGGTTCCAATCAGCCCAGCTCTGGCCCTTGTGGTCATTTGGGGAGTGAACCAGTGGATAAAAGATCTCTCTCTGTCTCTCTCTCTCTCTCTCTCTGCTACCACCTTTCTGTAACACTTCCTTTCAAATAGACAAATAATTCTTTAAAAAAGTCAAGACCTGTCAGTTTTTCATTGATAGGATTTATGAAATCTTCTCAGATTTATTCTCTAATATGAATGTTAATATGCTTTGTCTGTCAAAGTTGTCATTTTCCCCCCTTTAACAAGTAGTTCCTCTTGTATTCTATATGAACAGACTTCAACTGTATTGGAGAAAACAAATACATTACAATATTGACATTTTACATCACTGTGTAAAAAACATTCTCCCTCTGTAAATTGTTCATAAAAATCATTGTATTGGGGGCTGGCGCCGTGGCTCACTTGGCTAATCCTCCGCCTGCGGCGCTGGAATCCCATATGGGCGCCGGGTTCTAGTCCTGGTTGCTCCTCTTCCAGTCCAGCTCTCTGCTGTGGCCCGGGGAAGGCAGTGGAGGATGGCCCAAGTGCTTGGGCACCTGCACCCGCATGGGAGACCAGAAGAGGCACCTGGCTCCTGGCTTCGGATCGGCGTACCTCTGGCTGTAGCAGCCATTTGGGGGGTGAACCAACGGAAGGAAGCCCTTTCTCTCTGTCTCTCCCTCTCACTGTCTGTAACTCTACCTGTCAAATAAATAAATAAAAAATCTTTAAAAAATTATTGTTATTTATCAGGTAGCTGAAAAGGCATTGGGTTTCAGCTGTTTGCTACTTAAAGTCGTGTATTCTTGGGGAAGAAGCAAGAATTCTAATCTTCATCGGAAGATTGTTGGAAGAATTTTTGAAAAGCTAAAAAGTAAAGCACTTTGTAAATTTTAAGATGCTATGCAAATGTAGCATATTTTCAATTACCAATAAATGATAATTATATGTTATATATTGTCATATATACATTATATATATTATACTATGATGTAACTATATTACAAGTGTAAGATAATTATTGCATGGAGTTAGGAGCTAAAGAAAAGATGATTGTCCACCTGCTGCAAAGGATTGATCAGACTTATCTAAATGCTGGATCAAAAGACAAAGATATGGCTATAGGAAAGTGAGAGAAAGTGGGAGAGGTAGAGGGAACACCTGGGAAGCTGAAAAAATGTGAGAATGTAGATAATTTGTGAATTTCAGAAATGGTGGCAGGAACTGTCCTGTGGTTGAGCTAATGATTACAGCTAGAGACTCCTAATTATCCAGCAGATTTCCTGCAGAAGTGCTAACAAGACTTAGGCGGCAGGCTCATTTAACTCCTGATGACTCACAGATGGGCATTATAGTTAGTATGACGGATGAGAAAATCATGATTTAAAATAATTTTCAGTCATGGAATGCTGGTATTTGTGAGACATTTTTATATAAGAATGACAGAAACTTGTTAAAAGGACCTGAGGAGTAAGAGGGACACCCAAGATGATTAAGAAGCCAAACAGCTAAAAGAGCTAAAAGCAAGTTTGCTGGAGTCAGGACACCCAGGTTTAAGCCCCAACTCTGCTGCCTATTAGCAGGGAAAGGAACGGGCTAGTTACTACCGTTGCTGTGCGTCAATTTCATGAAGTTAATTAAATGAGATAATACGTGGTTATCAGCTTTGCACAGTGCGTGAGCCATATGGTCAGCCCTACAGAAGGTTTAACGTGGATGTGGCCCTCGGTTCCTCGGACATGAGGGATATGACAGGGAGAGAGGGAGTGGTCATATCAGCAACAGAAGTCACTGCGGTAAGTGTCCAGCTGCTCCACCCTCCGCGCAGAGGCGATGGGCGAAGCTGCCATTCAGAAACCGGGACTTGAGGGGGAAGAACGAAGGCTGCGCCCAAGGAGAGACAGCCGGGGCCAAGGTCCACCGCCAGAGGACTGTCCCCTTCTCTGCCCAAGGCGGGGAGTAAGGAGCCCTTCCTTCACCCAGGAGGGATTTAACTTCTACAGCCTCCAGCCCCCGAACCCCGCGGACCTCCTCCCGCGTCCCCTGGTCCCTCACGCCCTCCTGCCCGCGGCAGCGGACCTCCAGGCCGGATGGCGGCGCTGTGCGATCCAGAGGGCACTAGCGGGGAAGCAGGCCACGCCCGACGGAGCGCCGGAAGTGACGCGCAGCTCGCGCCCGATGGCGGAAGTTCCGCCGCCGCAGCACGCTGTGCTGTCTCCTCGTGCAGTCCATTGCTGGCATGGCGCACTACAACTTTAAGAAGATCACCGTGGTGCCGTCCGCCAAGGTAGGCGGCTCTGGAAAGACCTCCTTACCTATCGCCCTTTTCCTTAGCCGAGTCCTCCAGGAGGGTTTGGGCTGTAGCCGTGGGGCTAAGAAAGGGGGTCGCTTCTTGGAATCGCAAGCCCCCCCATCCCCATCGCTGCAGGACTCTGACACCACCGCCAGACCAGGCCACATGTGCAAGTCCAGAGCTCCCCACCCCCCGCCCGCTCCAGCCAGGGAGATCGGGGTGGTTCTCCAGAATAGGTTTGTCTGAGAGGGCCACCGGCGGTGAGGCGGTGGGTGAGTGGGTGGGGGCGACTGTGAGGGGCGGGGCGGAAGCTCATCGCGGTGGGTGAGTTGAGGCCACTGCCCTCAGCTAACTCCCTTATTGTCGTGGTTTAACACTTTTGTCATTCTCTTTGTAGCATTTGGGAAACGTAGGGTTTTTTTTTATTCACAAGCATTACCAAATTCATCGCATTCGACATTTTTACATGAGAAAAGTCAAATTTACTCAACAAAATTATCATGACAGGCTCTCCCAGATTCTCACGGATTTCCCCAAGTTGGATGTAAGTGACTTTTGGGGACTCACATGGTTACGTAAATGTGGCTCTTACTTGGTGTTTCACCTGTTGGGGTACTAGCTTGACGGAAAGGGAATCTAAGTCAGAGTTGCCAGAGTTTGCTCAGTAAGTTAGTGGTGAAACTGGGAAACTTGCGTGTATCTGTCCTTTCCCTAAACCAAGCTCCATTTTAGGTGGCCCGGTGCTATCTTCTCAGGTTTTCCTTGTAACCTCTGGCCTTTGCAGCGGGGTGGGGAGCATCGGGTCCATACAAGGCCAGCGAAATCATGTGGTCTGGCCCTGCCAAGGCAACCACAGGTGTGGCTGGAAGTTCTGGAACTCTATAGCAGGCTGGTGTTTTAAGTCGATAATTTTGTGTGGCCCAGGAATGATGTTATACGCATCCAGTGGCCCTTGGCAGAGGAAAGGTTCCTACCCCTCCTTCACAGGACCAACCCAAGCTGTATGGAAGTGGTAGGTCATGAACGTGTATGCTCCGGTCTTCTGACTTGCTGACTTGGCGAGGTTTCATCCCACCCTTCCTTTCTCTAAGGTTTGGTTTTCCTCTGGGCTGTCGAGGGTCAGTGGCTTGAGGCCCCACCGCTGTTAATGGTCTTGTTGGCTTCATCAGCTGATGGTAAGATAGTTCTCTTCATTGATTGTATGGAGAGCTGTGATTTCTGCATCAGGCTGTAAAAACTGATCTCTTTGCTGTTTATGGAATTGGTTTTTAAAGTAAGAAATAAAAATTCCTACTAGAGGATAGGCATTTTTATTTTATCATCTTTAGGACTTGATATAGGTGCCCAGTAGGTTCTTTTTTTTTTTTTAAGATTTATTTATGTCTTTGAAAGGCAGCATTATGGAGAAGCAGAGCGAGAGAGGGAGAGAGAGGTCTTCTTTTTTTTTTATTTTATTTATTTATTTATTTATTTGCAGGCAGAGTAGACAGTGAGAGAGAGATACAGAGAGAAAGGTCTTCCTTTTGCCGTTGGTTCACCCTCCAATGGCCGGCGCACCACGCTGATCTGATGGCAGGACTTGGGCCATCCTCTACTGCACTCCCTGGCCACAGCAGAGAGCTGGTCTGGAAGAGGGGCAACCAGGACAGAGTCCGGTGCCCCGACCGGGACTAGAACCCGGTGTGCCGGCGCCGCTAGGTGGAGGATTAGCCTAGTGAGCCGCGGCGCCGACCAGAGAGAGAGGTCTTCTATCCTTTGGTTCACTCTCCAGATGGCTGCAACAGCCAGAGCTGTGCTGACCCGAAGCCAAGAGCCAGAGCGTCTTCCGTTCTCCCCACGTGAGTGCAGGGATCCAAGCACTTGGGCCATCTTCTGCTTTTCCAGGCCATAGCAGAGAACTGGATCAGAAGTGGAGCAGCTGGGACTTGAACCGGTGCCCATATGAGATGCCAGTGCTGCAGGCCAGGGCTTTAACCTGCTGCACCACAGCGCCAGCCCCCAGTAGGTTCTTGTAAAATGAATGGACCAGCTGTACTTTGGAAATTTGTATTTATTAAATAAAAGTTAAAAAAAAAATGAATGGACCGTTTCTTGAGAAAGGTTAAGTACTAGGGAGTATCTGGGCCTGAAAAGAAAGATTTAAGAATAAGGTTATTCTAAACTGATTCTAGGAAATGCTTGACTCAGGCAAACAACCTGTTTTGATCTAATTAGTGGTGAGTTTTTTTCATTGTAAGGAGTTTTATCTTTTTTTGTTCTTAATATTATTTTATTTATTTGCTTGAAAAGCAGAGTGATAGAAAAGAGATCTTCTGTTCACTGGTTCACTCCTCAAATGCTTGCAGCAGCTAGAGCCAGGACAGGCCAAATCCAGGAGATAAGAACTCTATGTAGGTTTCCCACATGGTGGCAGGAACCCAAATAGTTGGGCCGTCATCTCTTGCCTCCCAGCATTATGAGGAAGCTGCACTGGACATGGAGGTGAGACTTGACCCCCCCGCACTCTGATAATAAGATGTGCTGCAGCCTAACTCACTGCAGCACAAGACTGGCCCTGGTAATTTTTTATATGTTAGAGGTGGAACATTCTGTTATCAATCTAACCACCTACCCTGAAATTGCTGTCAGATAAATAACACTTGTTTTTTTTTTTTAAGATTTATTTTATTTATTTGAGTCACAGAGAGAGGTAGAGACAGAGAGAGGCCTTCTCTCCACTGGTTCACTCCCCAGATGGCTGCAACGGCCAGAGCTGCGCCGATCCGAAGCCAGGAGCCTCCTCCAGGTCTCTCATATGGATGCAGGGACCCAAGGACTTGGGCCATCTTCCACTGCTATCCCAGGCCATAACAGAGAGCTGGATTGGAAGAGGAGCAGCCAGGACTAGAATCGGTGCCCATAGGGGATGCCGGCGCTTCTGACCAGGGTGTTAACTCGCTGTGCCACAGTGCTGGCCCCAACACTTCTTTTTAGTTAGTTAAACTGAAGCATTCGTTGAATGCTTGTTGTGCGTCTGACACTATTCTGAGCACTGGAATGCAGCAGGAATAAAAGTTCCTGTCATCATTCTAGTGAGGGGGAAAGGTAATAAACATGAAAATACGTAATGTGTGAGATGAAAGAAATGAAGCAAGTAAGGGGAGTAAGGAGTATATGTGCAGGGAGATAAGGCAGTATCCTAAGGGCGTGAAGGAGTGAGCTGTAGGAGCAAAGATACAGCAAATGCAAATGCTCTAGGCCGGAGTCCAAGGAGGTAGGATAGGATGTTAGAGGGAGAATGCTAGGAGATGGGGTCAGAAGTATTGGGAAGGCAGGGTGACTTTGAATTGTTGAGGTTTTTGACTTAGCTTTTAGGGGATGCCTGGCTTGTGGGAGGCTAATTCAGGTACAACCCAATAGCCATGTGATTGAAAGATGATGATAAATTAGAGAACCGAATACTGGTGAGGGTGTGACGTGGTTGGCTTCAGGATCGTTCAGAGGAAGCGCTAACAGGCTAGGCCACTGACTAGTTGTGTGGTTGAGAGAGGGAATGGAGATGTTCTGGGCCTTGGCACCTTGTATAGTGGGGTTGCTGTTCCCCAAGACGCGAGAGGCTAAGAGGAGCAGGTTTGAAGAGGAGGGCAAGTCAAGGGTGAAATCTGTACGTAGTGATTGTGAGAGATGTCCCAGACATCTGAGTAGAAACAGTAAGTAACCCAGAGTCCATGAGTAGGCTGGCCCACAGATATAAACAACAGAATTGTTAAAACGTAAATGGTATTTGTAAATCTGTGTGAGATCACCTAGTGGTGAACACAAGAGTGCTGTGGGGATATGAATGTGTAGTTGGACTGTGATGACAAGCCAGCATAGGAGTTGGAGAGCTGGCCACTGGAGAGGAAGCCCATTGAATGAGATGCTTCAAGAAGGACGAGTGGCCCAACACCCAGCACTGCCAAGAAGTCTAGTAAGATAAGATTTGAGATTTAGCAGTTTGGAAGTCGTTGCTATTTTGATCTAGTAGCAGGCATGCTGGAGAGTGGGTTCCAGAGAGGGAAGAAAGAATAAAAAGTGCTGCTTTGCTGGCATTTGCCAAGAGTGGAGCAAAAAAATGGAGCAGGAGTTTAAGATAAAAAATCGAAAAGATTTGAGAAATAACAGCATGTTTGTAGATTGATGGGAAAGGTCAGGTGGAAGAAAGAATTTCTAGAACTAAGTTCCTAAGCCATAGAAAAAGCAGGATCTGGTGCATATGGAGGGCTGGCCTCGTCTAGGTCCCTGGTGGCGCTGTCACTATAACAAGAATCCCATTAGGGCAGGGAGAAGTGACTTGCCACCTGCCTCCCTATTGATGGCTTCTGTTTTCTCAGAGGACTAAATTGACAGGATCCTTGTCCTGGTCCAGGTCCTTGGCCAGGAAAAGATTTGAGGTTTGAGGCCAGAGGAAGAGAGGGTTGATCTCCCAAGTGTTAACTTGCATACAGGGATAAGAAACTATTGGACTACGGTGACCACTGCATGTTTTTGTTTGTTTGTTACAGGACATCCATCCATTTTATGCTGATTTGATGAATATTCTCTATGACAAGGATCATTACAAGTTGGCTCTGGGACAAATAAATATTGCCAAAAACTTAGTGGACAAGTAAGGTGTTTTCTTACTATTGTGTTTTTTAAGTTGTTTTTAAAAGTGGAACAAAATATTCATATATGTATTTTCTTAAGTGTTGCTAAAGATTACGTGCGGCTTATGAAATACGGCGATTCTCTCATCATTGAATTGCTTTCTCAATAAATATCTATTGAATGTTAAAAAAAAAAAAGAGAGAGAGGCAGAGTTTGGAATATTTGGAGCAAGGTACTTACTGCCCATGAGGAGAAAAGGTCTTTTACAGCATTTTGTTAAAATAATCGATCTGTGTAGAGGGCATATTCCGGAGGTGGCTTTGTTTTATTTTAGAGCTGACAAGCTCAAATTATTTTTTCTAGCCAAACCTGTATGAGATTCTAATAGGTGATATGCTGTTGGAAAAGTGCCTAGCATAAATCATAAGGAAATATTGAAAAATATATAAAAATGTCATAGTTTTAGCTATTGGAAAAACTTTAATAAAACAGTTTTGAAATTAAGGTAGCAGGGTTTTGTTCAAATAGTTGCCTGCTTTCTTACATGCATGTAAATATTTTGAAAGATTTATTTTCTTGAAAGGTAGAGTTAGAGAGAGAGCTTCCATCTGCTAGTCCACTCCCTGAACAGCCGCAATGGCCGGGATTAGGCCAAGCCACAGCCTGGAGCCAAGAACTTCTTCCTGGTCTCTCATCTGGATGCAGGGACCCAAGCACTGGGACTATCTGCTGCTGCTTTCCCAGGCCCATTAGCAGCAAGGTGGATTGGAAGTGGAACAGCTAGAACTCAAATCTGCATCCATATGGGATGCCGGCGCTGCAGGTGGTAGCTTAGTCTGCTGTGTCACAGCACAGCCCCAACATGCACATATTTTTATATCACAAACTATTTGGACTTGTTTTATGTCTCCCCTGTATCTTGCAAGTGATTTATGATAGTTGAATGCTTATGTCTCCCCTGTATCTTACAAGTGATTTATGATAGTTGAATGCTTTTAAAATGCTTTCGTACATATCTGATCTTCACGATCGCCCAGTGAGTACCACTCTGAAGCTGTTTGTATTACAGATGAGGTAGTTAAATGGAAATTGCCCATGTAGTAGCCAGAAAATTACAGCATGCGTGCTTCAAAAGACACTGCTTTCCAAATGTCTCAATAAGAACCATCCGGACGCTTCTCAGACGTGTCTTTTTGATCTGTCTCTGATCTTTTGCATCCAAATGCCCAGTTGGTAAGGCCTAGGTATATTATTGGTACAGCCACACTTGGGAAATGCTATTATTTATACTGTATTATATCATTACTCTGTGCAATGAATTGCTTTTTCATCAACTCATACTTTCTCTACACTTGCATTATATAACCATGAGCTTGCAGTACAGATAAGTTGAAGAGAATATCAAGCAAATCAGACACTTTGATTTCTTAGTTTTTTCATTTTAAGCTTCATAGTGCGCCAGCATTTATCCCGTTTGCCAACCATTGATCCAAATACATGGACTCTGCTTTTATGTGGGTACCCAAATGTTGGGAAATCCAGCTTCATCAATAAGGTTGGTCTGGTTTTGATTATAAAAAGATGATGTGATGGAAGCCAAGAGCCAGGAACTCAGTACGGGTCTCCCAGATGGGTGACAGGGACCCAACTACTTGAGCTGTCACCTGCTGCATCTGAAGGTGTGTTACAGGAAGCTGGAATGAAGAGCAGAGCCAGCTCTCAAACTCATGTTCTCTGATATGGAATGCGGGCAACCCAACGGTCCAGGCAAAATACCTGCTCCTTAAGCTAATTCTTAGTGATTTGTCATTTTAGTTGCTGTGTCAAATTTTACAAAACTACATTATCCTTTGTAGTGATAAGTTGCTGAGTGTGATTCAAGGGTAGCATTCAAGTAACTCAGTAATTTTGTGCTTTGGGACAATTTAGCTGAATTGAGGGATCTGAAAGGAATTGAAACAGCATTTAAAATGTCAGATGACAACCAGCAGCAGTGTGTATGCCAAAGCAATTGTTAATTATGTTAATTATGGCTTCCTTGGTGCTAAGAACACTTTGCTGGGCAGATACTGTGTCATAGCTGCATCCCATATTGGAGTGCTTGGGGCGAGTCCCACTTCCATTTCCAGTGTAGCTTCTTGCTGAGGCAGCAGGTGGTGCCTCAAGTACTTGGATCCCTTTCATCCACGTGGGAGACCCAGATGGGAGTTCCAGCTCCTGGCTTCAGCCTGGCCCAGCCACAGCTGTTGTAGGTATTTGGGGGAGTGAACCAGCAAATGGAAGTTCTTTCTCTTTCCCTCTTAGTCTCTTACATGCACTCTCACTGTCTCTCATTCAACCTTTCAAATAAATAAACTTTTACAATGAATGCTCTTGCTTTGAGGCAAATTTATAGGTTTTATTTTGTGTACAGGTTTCCACGACATCTTGATAAAGCCGTGCAGGGGCCTACTTGATGTTTTGAAACATGCTCTGACCATTCCACAGCTGGCTGGTGCTCTGGGTGGCTGTGTGGCTTTTTACATGGAAAACAAAATGAAAACTTCAGTTCCAAGATTTTACGAACCACATATCAAGAGTTTGCAGACATGGGGCATTTCCATCATGACAGAGGCCTCTGTCGGGCCCTGTTGAGACACTGGAGGCAGTAGATGGAGGGTGAGAGGGGATGATGGCTGTCTCCTCCCTGATACCTGAGTCAAGGGCCCTGTGGTGTGAGGGAAGAGAAACCAGGCCATTTATTAAACTGGGTAACTCCTGTCCTGTGCGTTTTCATTATGTGAGGTCTCTTGTGTTTTTTTTTTTTTTCCTACCCAAAATTACTCTTGATGTGTTGGTAACATGCTTATGTTGTTTGACAGGAAGTGAGGTTAGAATCCCTGTGACTGACAGTTTTGACTGATTGCTTTACTTGAAGGTAACCAGAGCAGATGTGGATGTTCAGCCCTATGCGTTTACAACAAAGTCTCTATTTGTTGGGCACATGGATTACAAGTATCTACGTTGGCAGGTGAGAGTCTCATCTTTAAACGTAGGATAAACATCTTGGGTTTTGGTTAATTAATTTTGATTTTAATGATTTCTGAAGCACTATAATATTTATTTTTTCTGGTATACTTGGAATAGTATAGAGTCAGCCCTGAGGAGGTGAGGAAAAGAGAATCTCTGAGGTGACCAAGAACTTGAAATTTTTCTTTTACCATAAAGAAAACTTGTCTGAGCTTTAGAGAGACATGAGGGCAGTTAACAGTTTTCTGATACAATTTCAGAGGAAATAGCAGGCCTTCAGTTTGGGCTTCTGCGCCTTATGCTAAGAGTTGTACTTCTAAAGTAATTAAATTCTCCTTTAATCATTTGTGACTCTGTTGTTGCAAATGGCATATACTGTCTAAAACCATGAAACAATCTGTTTGAACAGTCTGATTTTATAAATGATGAAGAGAGTAACTCCTAAGACTTAGGAGGTTTGGGGGTTATTTTAGTTTTTATGTTTATGATGATGCTAGTGAGAACAGGAGTCATTTCTCAAGGTCATTGGCTAGCTTTTCAATGAGCTCTGCAGGGTTTTTCTACCCTTGACTGCTTATTTAATGTTTAAAAATATATGCTTTTCTCTCACTTTTATTTTCTCATCAGTTTTGGAGTTCTGCATTTTTATTTACTAGTTTCGTAAGGTCTGGTTTCAGTATGCAGAATGACTGCTGGGGCGTGCTGGACAAGAGGTTAATAAGTGTGCTCTGGAATAATGGAGTTTGTTCATTAGGTTGTAGACACTCCAGGGATTTTGGATCACCCTTTGGAGGATCGGAACACCATCGAGATGCAGGCCATCACAGCCTTGGCTCACCTCCGTGCTGCGGTTCTGTATGTGATGGATTTGTCTGAGCAGTGTGGACATGGTTTGAAGGAACAAGTAGAACTCTTCCAGAATATAAGACCTCTCTTTATCAACAAGGTAAGTCTGACAACTAATAGTTTAGTTTATTTTGTATAGTATGAAAGTAGTGATTCATTATTTTTTTTTTCCATTGGTAGCCTCTTATAGTTGTTGCCAACAAATGTGATGTGAAGAGAATAGCTGAACTTTCTGAAGATGATCAGGTAAATCATCTTAATGTTTGGAATGTGTCTTACTTACGTATTCTGAATGCTATCTCAGCCAAAGTTTAGAAGGAGGAATTTTAACAGTACTAGCTCAGTTTTTATTGTGCAGTTGAGATAATATCCTCAAAGGTTCAGTGACATGAACTCAGACATCCTAATCCCTGCCCTGTGGAAAATGTGATCCCTTAGATTGTTGCCTTAGAGGAAGCCAAGTGCCTTAGGTGTCCTTTATCTCTTCCTGACCTCAGAATATCAGGTAATACTACAGCAGCGTTTTCCAGCGTAAGTTCCTAGTTAGGAAAGGTGTTCATTGGTGTTATTTAGCAAAAGAGGTTCTGTGGTTAAATGCATTTGGAAATGAGTGACTGAGCACAGGAGAATGAAGATCTGTAAGCATTTGTCCTGTGGGCTCTCAGGAACCATGAGTGTTTTTGAAGAGGGCATGCAGGACTTACAGGAACTCTTGAGTGTGGTGTCTGTTAGCATTCCCCAAGAGGCAGGAAACATTGTTAATATATAGTTTTAAAAACCTGGTTTGACTCTTCCATCAAAGGTGTCATTGAGGATAAATGCTTTGAGAAGCATGTACACAAATTGTAGGTCCCGACCAGCAGCGTCAGCCTCACTGTTACCTGGTACTTGGTCAGAAATGCAGGTTTCTTGATCACACCAGATTGCCGAATCAGAAACCCTGGAGTGGGGCGCAGTCTCAGTCGAGCAGGCCCTCTAAGTGACTGCTCACTGGAATGGTAGACTGCATCTGCTGTGTCTTTTGGAATGTACTAGCTTGACTTCCTGTTCCTGATGTAGGAACAGCATATTCTTTCTCAGTGTCTCTTGTTCTGTTTGGAGACTTACTACTAAGTAAGGATTAGCTTTTCTTAAACAGCCACAGCTGGTCTTCTCAGGTTACTACAGTAAATTCTTTAAGTTACTGATTATGTAAACACTAATGTCAGAGTTAATTTGTCTGCGAAAGCCCCCATGTGTCTGTTAAGTAACTTCAGTTTTCTAGTCTAAAAAGACATTGCTGGGTGGAGAAGGGGGAGAGTGGACAGCAGCAAGAAGTTTAAGAAGTGAATGCAGTACTCAGATGCCCAGGCTTTGGAGTCAGACATGCTCAGGTCCCAGCTTCACGCTTGCTGGTTGTGTGATAAGGAAGTGAGGTCACCTGTCTGACCCTCGGTTTATCCTGGGAGGTAATGCCTACAGTCATCGGTTGTTGGACAAATTGAAAGGAATCGGAAAGCTAAGTACATATTGGAATACTATTACACTATTTCCATTTGGTTAACACTTTCATAGCCTTCCCTTTATTGATGCTTTCAACATGACACTCCTCATCAAATGGTGATAACACATGATGGTTTTTGCCATGTGCACAGGTAGGCTCAGGGACCATTTTACTCAGGGCCATGCAAAATTGGTGTTCAGTCCTTGATCACTGCTTTGGACCTTATGGTAAGGGAAATAAATCTTGTTTGTGAAATGCTTTATTATGATGGATTTGTCACTTTCCTCCAAAAGATGGTCACACTTGCAGTTAGATGTAAATGTGACACTTAGTAGAGGGCATACAGTCGAGTCTCTTAGATCTTAGTAATTTAAATTTCTAGATTTGTGAATGTTTTCAAGATTTTTCTAAGGGATTCTCTTGGGCTATGAAGGCTAGTTTTTTTCTTGTTCTTTTTCTAATTAGAAGTAGCACTGCTAATGCTTCTTGGTCTTACCTAAGTTCCTATTTTGGAGGATGAAGTCTTACTGAATGTTCTGGAGAGTTTTGAATTACTTGGTCTGTTCTTCAAAAGTTTTAAAAACAAACCACAAGTGTTGAGAATTGCAGCCTTCATTGTAAAACTGACTTTTTCCATTGGAAACTAGAAATCAATAATACATCTCTTGTTTTTCCAGAAAATATTTGTAGATTTGCAAGCTGAAGGATTCCCTGTGATAGAGACGAGCACTCTGACTGAGGAAGGTGTCATTAAAGTTAAAACAGGTTAGTGCTTTCTTAACATCTGGTATCAGTCTTTTCACTATCTTTGTCTTGTTTTTGAAAAGTCAGTCATGGGGGGTGGAATTAGTTTTTTACTAGGTGCTGTTAATACTCAAAGTATACATAGTGGTAAGGAGTGATGCACTACAGAATAAGGTGGATCCAAAACCCTTAGTAATCTAGTGCCCTGCTTATCCAGATGAATGGTTGAATAATACTTTATAGTTCCTGCTATAGGAAATTTTTAATTAAAATGACTGCTATGACTTTTGACTATATTTTCATAGCAGTTTTACTGAAATGGATCCTGTTTGGTAGTATAAGGGGAAAAGTAGTGTGAAAAGCAGAACAGCTGGAGGCTGCAGGCTCCTGTTAGATTTTATGTAGTATCCTACTTCATCCTGTTGCTCTTAACTTGAAATAAAAGGGCAATTTTTGTGCTGTGGCTTTAATTACAGATTGGCTGCTCAAGTTAGAATTCTGAGAGATCATTGCATCTAGGTAATGAAGGACAGTTGGAGGACACCACCAGTCTGGACAGGGGGTCACTTCTGGTGGGAACAAGGCCCAGCATAGAGCTTAGGAGGGCTGCTTCAAGATTCTGTCTCAGATTGGCCCTAGGGTCAGAAAGGGGAACAGTCTCTTTCTTGGAGAGTGTGGTTTGCTGTGATGTTAAAAACCTATTGAGGGAAAAGGCGTAGGAAGTTCCAAACCATACCAGACAGTCAATGGGAGTCTGATTCCTGATTCTTCTCTGAAATGTGCAGGAGGCTGCGGTGTATCTTTGTAACTCTGTGTCTTGTTTTTACTTTTATTAGGCTTGTGATAGGCTTTTGGCTCATCGAGTTGAAATCAAAATGAAGGGAAATAAAGTGAATGAGGTGTTGAACAGATTACATTTAGCTGTACCAAACAAGAGAGATGATAAGGTAAGATGGCCTTTACAGAGAGCCTTTGAGATACATTTATTGCATTGCTGGTAAAAGTCAGTAGATGCTACTGTCTGCATGGTTTTTTCCAGGGTTACAGAGCCAGCTACACATACAGACAAATGGATTTCATAAATGGGCTTCCATTTCTCATTCATAATGAAGTTATGCCTGTGTATGGCAAAGAGTAAAAGGTTGAGGAAGAGAATGAAGTTTGCCTCTCACTCTACCAGAGGCAGTTATTGTTAATCCAGTCTTGTTTTTCCTTTGAGAAATGTTTGTGATACAGAAGCATTTTTTGAACATAGATGGAAGCATTATACTTATTGTACTTTTTTTTGTGTGTGGTTTTTTTATTTATTTGAAAGTCAGAGGGGTGGGGGATAGATCTTCCATCTACTGCTTTACTCCCCAGATGGCCATAACTGCCAAGGCTAAACCAGGCCAAAACCAGGAGCCAGATTCTATTTCTAGCCCAGTGGTTAAGATGCCTCCATGCCATTTCTGAGTGCCTAAGTTCAATACTTGCCTCTGGGTCCTGACTCCAGTTTTCTGCTAATGCAGATGCTGGAAGACAGCAGTTATGGCTCAAGTGATTGGTAGAAAACTTCTTGGGCTCCACAGTTTCCATTCTTGCCACCCTCATGGAAGACCTGGACTGATCGCCTAGCTCCCAGCTTCACCCCCTGTCCAACACTGGCACAAACTAGTGGATGGGCACATGTTCTGTGTCTAAAATAAACTGGAGTAGAGTGAGAGAACCAACATAAAAAAGGAGGGCAGGCAAATGGCCCACTGGTTAATATGCCTGCATCTAGTATTGAAGCAGCTGGGTTTGATGCCTGGCTTTGCTTCTGACTCCAGCAACTGGGATTCTGCCACGGCTCACTAGGCTAATCCTCCGCCTTGCGGCGCCGGCACACTGGGTTCTAGTCCTGGTCGGGGCGCCGGATTCTGTCCCGGTTGCCCCTCTTCCAGGCCAGCTCTCTGCTGTGGCCCGGGAGTGCAGTGGAGGATGGCCCAAGTGCTTGGGCCCTGCACCCGCATGGGAGACCAGGAGAAGTACCTGGCTCCTGCCATTGGATCAGCGCGGTGCGCCTGCCGCAGCGCGCCAGCCGCGGCGGCCATTGGAGGGTGAACCAACGGCAAAAGGAAGACCTTTCTCTCTGTCTCTCTCACTGTCCACTCTGCCTGTCGAAAAAAAAAAAAAAAGAATTACCATCTTAAAAATTAGCCTGCTATATATAGATTTACTGAATTTTGAGTTCCACCTGCATTTGTCTTGGCAGGACCAGAGTAAATGATTTCATGGGCCTTATACTAAGCCTTATACAGACTGTGGGCAGATGTTCCTCATCCCTGCTGATTCTGTCTGACCTTGGATCTGCGCCTCTTTAGAGCTTTGCTTTGTTACTGGCATCTCTGTCCTGGCTCAGTCCAGTTCCCCTCTCTTTTTCTTAATATAAATAGCTCTCATCTTTCTTAAAAAACAAAAATCTTAGATTCTATGTCCTCCCTTACTCGTTAACCCTTTTTCTCTCCTCAGTTGAGCTCTTTGAAAAAGTACTTGATAGTGGCTGGCACTGTGGTGTAATGGGCTAGGCTGCCATCTGCAGCACTGACATCCCATATGGACACCAGTTCCACTTCAGTCTAGCTCTCTGCTAATGTGCCTGGGAAAGCAGCTTAAAATGGCCCAAGTGCTTGGGACCCTGCACCCACATGGGAGAGCCGGAGGAAGCTCTTGGCTTCTGGCTTCAGTCTGGCCTAGCTCTGCTGTTGTGGCTGTTTGGGGAGAGAACCAGCAGATTGAAGATCGCTCGCTCTCCTTCTGTGTCTCTCCCTCTCTCTAACTCTGCCTTTCAAATAAAATAAACTAAATTTTTGGAAAAGAAAAATTACTTGAATGACATTATCTGTTAGCTGTTGTCATTTCCTGATACTTGCCACTCATTTTCCCAAGTGTCCTCCTTAATTTATATTTTCAGTCTCATTGTGTCTGTGACCTCTTCATGCCCTACTTCTAGAACTCATTTCTGCTCTGGAAATTAAGCTGTTGGTAGCATCGTGATTTATTTGGGTACCCAAGGAGTGAACTTACACGTCAGCGCCTTTACTCTCACAGTTCTCACGATTTCCCTTCTGCAGTGTTCCTTGTCCTCCAGTCATCTGGTTTTCATCATCATTGCCTTTGCCATAGCTGGCCTCCCTGCTTTGCTGGGTTTTTTACCTTTCTGTTCTGTGGTCCACTCTTTCATGTCAGAAATCGGGTGATTTCCCCTTCCTGAAACTCTTCACTGTTCCTTATGCATTCAGTTTGCTTATCATGATGCCTGGTGGCCCACCAGGGGCCTGGCAGATCTGCCTGTTGGACTCCTGGCTAGGTTGACTTGTTAGGATATGATATGCATGCATATTTTTAAGATTTTGTTTTTGTCTTATTAACGTTGTAGAAAGTGAAATTGTATTCTGGATGATATTAGAATAGATAACCAGGATACTGTATGAATTCAGGCTCTCTCAGACCTGAACTTGTTTCATATTGTCTATTTGCTGGTCTGTACTGTGGGGAATAAGGAGACCTCCCCACCTTGGAGTTTAACTGTTTTAACGAGGAAAAGTAGCAACTGAAGAGTTAACCAGCCTGCTGTCAGTTCATGTGCGCGTGGTCTCCTTTTGCTTCCCAACCATTTTGTGTGAGATAAGCTCTGCATGTGTGGGTATATGGGGACTTGACCATAGGATTACCGTGTCCTCAGACAGTTTCCATGCACATGGTGTCACACCTACTGTACACATTTTTCTTCAATTATATCTTTAAAGAAATTGGAAGAATTAGAGAAAGAAGAAGAGCTAAGAACAGCTGCTGGGGAGTATGACAGTGATTCTGAAAGTGAAGACGAGGAAATGGTGGAAATCCGACAGCTGGCAAAACAAATTAGAGAAAAAAAGAAACTGAAAATCCTTCAATCCAAAGAAAAAAATACACAGGGATCCAGGATGCCTTGAACAGCTAAGAAGGCAAGTGTTTTTTTTTTTTTTTTTTTTTTTTATGTCTTTCCAAAAGATATGCATGACTTATTGCGTATGTTGGACTCTTGCAAAATCATTGCTAATTACAGCTTTTCAACCCATTTATGGCTGTCGGATTGCACATTCTTCGTTTTGGTGGTGTAAATTGACTTAGAAGAGTCTTGATTGTTTATCTGCTGATTCTTGTGCCCTTTCTTGGTGATAATCAGCTTGAAGTTTTCCTCTATAGATTCAATCATTGTATAGTTTTATGAATTACAATTGGGATTTATAAGTTGTAGAAATTTAAAGTCATTAATTAACATTTTCTTATTTAATTTCTGTATTATTCAAGACTTGTCTTTTCTAATTTACAGACACTTAACCCAGTCTAATTTAAACCCAAAAGAAAATTTATTGACTTTTGTGACTGGTTAAGATGGGGAGAATTACACAGTAGCGTGAATGGATCAGATGTCAGGATTCTTAACACTTTTTCGGTTTTGTTTTTGTTTCTTGTCCATGCTTTGGTCAGGGAGGTAGGGTTCTGTGATAGCTCCCCGTACCACATGAAGTTCCCCCAAAGAAGTCAGATAATGTGCAGGAGAGTTAAAATGTAATGGAAAGAAAGGAAAATAACTTGACATTGTAGATACCTCTGAGTGGGTATTGTTTGAAAATAGTGTTTTCATATGATAGCAGATGACTGGTTATTAAGAGACATGGACAGTCTTCTGCTTTTCCTAGTAATGTGGAGGGGTCTCCAGAAGGAAACATGTTGCCACAGTGAGTTTGTCTTAGGGTCCATCACTAACTTCAGCTTTTGTGGCTCATCTATGTGATAGAAACAGTCACTTTCTTACTCTGTGTGGGTTGCTTGGTTTCTACCAAGAAGGACATAAAGCATACAAGATCTCACACATAACAGTTTCTTAGTTAAGTGTTGGTTTTCGCTGAGCTGCCCAAAACCATCATAGCGGCAAGTATTAGCCACAACAATTAAGATATTACTTGGGATGCTTGCAGCCTGTATTGGAATGCCTGAGTTCAAGTCATGGCTCTCCTTCTAGTTGCAACTTCATGCTTTGCCCACCCTTGGAGGCAATAGGTGATGGCTCAAGTACTTGGTCCCTGGCACCCATGTGGTCAGGCCTGGAGTTTTAGGCTCCTCGCTTTGGCTTGGCCCACCCCTGGACATTGCAGGCATTTGTAGATTGAACCAATGACTGGGAGATAATTTCTCTTTGTCTCTGCCTTTCAAGTATATATATATTTATATATTAATTAATTAAAAAATCAGTTAGTCAGTCAGTAAAAGGCAAAGTGAGCCCAAGGGGAAAAAATACAACTTGTAAAAGAAGTATGTCACAAAAAGTGTATTTTCCCTTAGAAAAAAAATATTTTTCAACTTTTCAGTGAACTAATTTTGCTTAAAGCCAATTTTATTTTAAAATTTCTTTTCAGGTTCAGAAGACAGATTTGGAGAATGAGATGCATAGTCTTGGTGTTGACATGGATACTAAAGACAATGTAAGTGTAGGGGGCTGGTCTAGTGTTTATATGGCTGAATGCAAACTTGTTAAAGAAAAAGCAGGGGCTTGGAAACCTGTGAGAATATGAAGTTGATTTAAAAGAAAAGAAATCAGGATTCCCAGTGTTTCCATTGCTATTTATTGACATAGTGTCTGCCTCGAAGTGATGGATTGATTGATAAGTGTATCTCTCACGCTGCCATAGTTCCCTTGGGAATGCTTCGTTTGGTGTGATTAGCTTAGCACCTGTTCTACTGATGCAGGATGGTGTTTTCAAAACTTTATTCTTATTCAGCATTTGAGAAGAATTTAGAAAAACTTTGTACTCTCCATCATCCTTAATTAAAACTTGTCCCTGGAAGTGGGCCAGGTGTCCTTGCCTCTCAAAGTTCTGGTTTAGTCACTGTCAGTTGTGTAAGGTGACCCCAGTGCATTTGCTTTTCTTTTTTGTATTATTTTGAGTGAAGGTCAAAAAGTTCATGAAAACAATGTATTCTGAAAATGCATGGATTTCACATTTTTTTGCACCAAAATAAACTTATCTGTTAATTCCATTTTTCCCACAAAGTTTTTGAAGGCTTATAGATATACTTTATCTTTCATTTTCATGTTAGTAGAAAATTTGGAAAATATTGAAAACTAGAAAGAAAATCATTTGTGGTTATAGCACATAAAAATGAGTAAGTTGAAATATGGTAGATTGCTTTTTATGCAGTTAAATGAGAGAGCTTGTCTTCTGTTCCTTAAAAATATATTTAAGATCACATTCCACATTTTACATCTGTGTCTTGTAAATATTTTTTCGTTAAATTTCTCCCATTTTTTAATGAAGTAAAGCTTAATTTCTTTTACTTTTTGGATTGTTTACAGGTTAAATTCATTTATTTACTGTTGCCTTAAAGAATTTAAGGTTATCTGTAAAAGAATTCACATCAGGGAAAAGTGTATGTGGGAAAAAGATGTCAAAGGGAAAGAAATAGATAAATTTTTGTTGTCCTATACAGAACTCTTTACTTGGACTATAGTGACTGAGATCTGCCTGGTGCTTTAATTAGCTTCAGTGTAGTTATATGAAGTGTTAGTCTCTCTGTGTGAGTAACTTAGACTAAATAGTTCAAAACTGTCTTCTGGGGTGCTCAGAGATGAGAAGGTATTTCAGGTATCTACTAGAATTTTATCCTGCTGTTGTAATGATTTATGCTAGAAGCAAATCAAAGAACTTTTAGTGCTCTGGATTGTTTTCTCAAAACAGATTCCCAGACTGGAATTACCAAACTCAGGACAGCATTGTATAAAGTTCTTTTCTGGAAGAGGTAGAATAATTGGTTTCAGTCGGCAGGTATGAGGGGACTCATTTGTTTTGTATATGCTTGCGTTGTTTTACTGTACTGACATAAGATCTGACATTTGATTGAAGTGCTAGGCTTAATGCCTGCTTACATTTTGGGGAAGTTGTGTTTTCCCTAATTTACAGACAGGGTGGCCAGTGGTAGCAACGTTAAGGGACTTGTTTGAATTCTTATAGGCAGCACAAGGCAGAGCTGTGACTTGTCCAGGTTCTGATGGCAGAATTTGTCCTCTTAGACGTGCAGTCTGGATATATCTTCTTAACTTAAAGTTTGAACTTCTGGGCAGTTTTCACTTTATGTTCAGGTATTAGATATTAGTGTTCTGAAATTAGATTATGATTCTAACCTAATAATCATTTTTGAATGGGGATGTCTAAGTACATTTTTTAAAATGGCGTTAAATCAGCTTTGTAAAATAAGAGCAGCTTGTGTAAGTGAAAAAAGATATTTGAGTGGTAATTAATGTGGAATTCCATGTGTATATCTTAAGGATTTTAGCTGATTGTGGTTCTGATGACGTTGTAGACCCTCCTGACTGTCCTCTTCCCTTGTTGGAGTCGATCTGTTTGTCACTGAATCTGTAAGCAGGGCTGTGATCCTGACCGCCGAAGTTTGCTTTCCATGCTTTTCAGGCCCACTACGCAGTCCAGGCAAGGAGATCTCGGAGTATCACCAGGAAAAGAAAGCGGGAAGAATCTGTTCCACCGTCTTCTGTAGTCCGGAGTCGGAGTTGCTCTCGAACTCCACGTGATGTTTCTGGTCTCCGGGATGTCAAGGTCAGCCTCTGATGTAGTAATAGCCTCAGTGTTTATTCTGGCAAGTCTCAGGGTAAACACCAGTAGTTATGGCTCAGAGAAGCAGGAGCTGTGGGTAGGAGGTTAGCTGAATGCTGCATGTCCCAGTTTCTTGGCGTCCTTGAGAGCTTGGGTCAGGTACAGTTGGATGCCTCTGGACAGAGGTCCTTGGTGGACTGTTGCCTAATCTTTCCTTTTTCAGAGGTTGGGCAGAAGCATGATCTCATACTGCACCAGCAGTCTGACTTTAGATCCCAGTTGTTCAGGGAGAATAATAGGAAATTGCCCCTGCTGTTAGCACCAGGTAGCCCCAGTAAGCAAAATAAGGCCTGAGAAGCCCATATGATGAAACAGCCCAGAGGTAGCTATTTTGGTTGACTCACCATGTGATCCCACTTACCTTCATGTTATTGTGGGAATTTCTTCTCCCAATCAATAGCTTAGATTACTCTCAATATCATTTATAGCATATTTTGGTAAAACGCTTTGAATACAGTCTGCTTCCCTAAACTGTCATCTCATTAAAACAAAAATTTCTAATTTCAGTATTATGAAGATTCAGATATAAAAATCTGTCAGTAGTCTAGTAAGTATTTTATAGAAGCCTGGCTTTTTCATTCCACAATACCGTTACCATCTGAAAAATCTGGGTTTTAATATTGGCATTGCTGTTAGTAAAGCAGATGTACATAGTGCATTCTTCTAAGGCCTGAGTCTCAGTGCCTCAGTTTGTGTGAAAGGGAGTTAGAACAGATGTGCTCTGATCGTCAAGATTGAAAATGTCCCTCCTAGCTATAAAACTCGTCTGAGGTGAGATTGTCATCCTGTAAATATGCATAGAGTTCCTGCTGATACTGTGCTGGGCCTGAGGAAAAATAATGAATGAGACTTACCAGGGTCTGTTGACAACAACAGATCTTGGCCATTAAGACAGACTACTGCCTGGTAGTTAAAATACAGAGTGGAAGATTGATTTTCAGTGAATAGAACACACTGTTATTTTCTCCTCCTTTGTAGATGGTGAAGAAGGCCAAGGCTATGATGAAGAATGCTCAGAAGAAGATGAATTGCTTGCGGAAGAAAGGGGAGTCAGATCGGCATGTGTTTGATATGAAGCCCAAGCACTTACTCTCTGGAAAGAGGAAAGCTGGCAAAAAGGACAGGAGATAGGCTTCAGTTGACATGGTTTGGCTAGACTGTTTGTTGCTGTCTGTTTCTTGGTTGGGTATGGTGTGGGTTCATAAAATTGGAGTCATCTATAAACAAACAAAAATAATTGCAGCATTCTTTGCTAAACATTGTGGTTAAATCCTGCATAATAAGTGCTGGAAATTTTTGTCTGCAAAATGCAAACATTTGGAGTAAATGGTCTTTCTGCATTAAATAGAGGATTGGCTGCTTCAGATTTACAGAACTAGAAAAATTTGGTATGACTTTGATGTTTTGATGGAGAAAGACCTTATTTTTTCTAAGAGGAAACTTCGATTTCTCACACGGGAATACTCCTTTTTTTATGAAGAAAGCATCTCCATTTATGGATATGGACAGAGGGCTACCTGCTCTGCAGACTTGGGAGCAAGCACATGTGTGAGCGAGTCAGAACCCTGATGCTGAAAATACTCCTTTAAATTATTTTCCAGTCTTCTTGTACAATGTATTGTTGTAATCTCTCTTTCAACTATTTTATCCAAAATAAATCTCCAGGAGAAATAGTTTTGAGTTATTTAATACTTTTTTGTATAATTACAGATCACTATTGATTTGGCCAAATGAAAAAGAAAAAAAAAGACATTTCTTTTAAGAGTGTTTTTTGCTTTTAAAACAAGAATACTGCTTTGTGAATGGAATGTTGCCTAAGAAATTACAACACTTAAATATAACATCTCTGGAACAGGCATCTGTCCTACATGCTGGGAAAGGGAGCAAGTGTTGTGGTATAGCTGTACTGCCAGTCTAGCTCCCTGCTAATGTGCCTAGGAAAGCAGCAGATGATGGCCCAAGTGTTTGGGCCCCAGATACTCATGTGGGAGACCTGTATGGAGTTCCTGGCTCTTACCTTCAGGCTTGCCCAACTCTGGCTACTACAGCCATGTGGGGAGCAAGTCAATGGATGGAAAAACCCTCTGCCACTCTGCCTTTCAAATAAATAAATTAATAAGTAAAATACTCTGCTTTTCAGATAGATAAATCTTTAAAAGAAGATATGGGTGAAGATGACCCCATCCTAAATTGAAGTGCCTGAGTTTAATTGCTGTTTTTTTTTAAGTATTTATTTGAGAGGCAGAGTCACAGACAGAAAGGTCCTCCATCTGCTGGTTCATTCCCCAGATGGCCACAGTGGCCAGAGCTGAGCCGATCAGAAGCCAGGAGCCTCCTCCAGGTCTCCCATGAGGGTGCAGGGGCCCAAGCACTTGGGCCATCTTCCACTGCTTTCCCAGGCCATAAGTGGAGAGCTGAATTGGAAGAGGAGCAGCTGGGACACGAACTGGCGCCCATATTGGATGCAGGTGCCACAGGTGGAGGTTCAGCTCAGTACACCACAGCACTGGCCCCTAATTTGCAGTTCTGACTTCTGAGTTTTGCTTCCTGCCAGTGTGGAGGCCTGGGAGGCAACAAATGAAGGTTCAAGTTACTGCGTCTTTGCCATCCACGTGAGAGACCTGGACCCTATTCCTACCTCCTGCCTCTGGCCCTGGCCGTTGCAGGTATTTGAGGAATAAATTAGTGGGTAGGAGCTCTCTCTGTGTTTTGCAGAAAAAGAAGAAAAATGACACCTACTACTGAAAATGACGTATTGAATAAAACACAAAAGCTCCTCCAACCCCCACACAAGCACCTCCTGGCAGGGGTGGCAGAGTCAGAGGGTCTGTTTTTAATTATTTTAAGTGTATAAAGCTGTGAGTGCATGATGGGTGTTTTGTTTAATAATTAAGTCACCGGTTGGGACACCTGCATGTCATATTAGAATTCCATGGTTCCAGTCCCAGATACTCTGCTTCCCGTCTAGTGTCTTCTGATTCATACTCTGGAAGGCAACAGTTGATGGCTGAAGTGCTTGGGTCCCTGCCACCCATGCGGGAGACCTGAATGGAGTCTGGGTTTTTGGCTTGACCCTGACCCAGCTCTAGCTATTGCAGGCATTTGGAGAGTGAACCAGATCTGTGTCTCTCTGCCTTTTAAATAAAATGAAAATAATAATTTAAAAAGGTGAATAAATGTTAACTAAAAACCACCAAGTAAAATAGGGTGAATAAGTGAATGTAATAGACTAGTCTTAAAACATCACCTTTTGACATCAAAACAATATCATTGTTACCAGTTCTTCAGAATGCAGTTAAAAAGTAGAGATTCTCTACTTAACAAGTCCCTTGCTAGAATACTTCACATATGCTGGAAAGATTATAAGAAATACTCCCAAGTGATACCAGGGAAGACAGTAGAGTAGGAAGTACCAGGAATCCATCTCTACTTTGACAGTAAATTTGCTGCTAGGATCTATTTGATGTAGATGTTCTAGTACTTCCATCTCTTCAAAGATTTGCAGCTTACGGAGAAAGGGTTGGCCAATGAATTGCAGTAGATTTTAATTTCAGCTGTTAGTACCTATCCCAACCCCCAAGCCACATGGCAGGCAATTATATTCCTGTACCAGCTTACAGAAGTCAAGAGTGGACACTAAGAACCTTGTCCTACAAATTTTAGGACTGTTATGATTGCCAGTTGCTGCTTCTGATTGTGGAGGTACAGATGCGGGTGGACCACTATTGTTGCGACCCTCCATTAGCTGAACAGGCTCCTGGGAATTTAAAGGACCAAGGCCTTTTTTTGTTTGTTTGTTTTCTTGCACTCCCCCCCCCCACCCCCCCTATTTTCAGGCCAGACCTTTAAGGATTAGGACTCTGAAAAGCAACTGCATGTTCAGGGAAGCTTAAGAAAGTCACCTCAGATTTCCAGAGAAGGACACATTCAGAAAAGACCCGAGCTTTGAGTTTTATATCGCAGGCTGATCTCTGTTGTAAGCAACCTGTAACAAAGTCCAGGAAACGGGGAAAGGGAGAGGGTATAATTGCCAGTCATCACATAAAATTCAAAAGTTGAGTTTTCAACAATAACAACAAAATCACAAGGCAGGCAAGGAATGAAGTGTGGACTCCTGAAGGGAAAAAATTAGTTGACAAATTGTTCCTAAGGAAAACCAGATGGTGGACTTAGTATACATTTTTCAGCAATGGTCTTGGGGGCTGACATGGTGGCATGGCAGGTTAAGCTATTGCCTGTGGGGCCAGCATACCTTATGAGTCCTGCTTCGTGCCCTGGCTGCTCCACTTCTGATCAAGCTCCCTGCTAATGTGCCTGGGAGAACAGCAGAGGATGGCCCATGTCCTTGGACACTTTTATACCCATTTGGACAACCCGGAAGAAGTTCCTGGCTCCTGGCTTGCCTGGCCTACCCCAGGTTGTTGTGGTCATCTGGGGAGTGAACCAGCAAATGGAAGAATGATATTCTCTCCTCCCTCCCTTCCTCCTCTTTCCCTCCAACTTGGCCTTTTAAAGAAATAAAAATAAATCTTACCCCCCCCCAAATGGTTTTAATCTACTCTAAATACTAAAGGAGGACATAGACAAAATCAGGAACCACTGAGTGAGTAAAATAAAAATATCAAAGCAACAGAAAATGAAAGTGGACCAAAGGACTTCTGGAACTAAAAAGTAAATTGAGAAATTTGCTGGAGAGTTTCATAAAGACAACTGAAATTGAGTCTGAGTAGCAGAAAGAAAAAATTGAAAAGTGAACAGAGCTAAGAAAGCTGCAGTTCAACAAATCAGACCAATACGTGCATTAAGACAGTCCAAAAAAAGAAGAGAAAGACACAAAGACTAAAAGAAATGGTAGCCAGAAATACCCCAAATTTGATGAAATACTCGAAGCTCCATGAGCTTAAGAAAAACCCAGGGCCCACACCAAGACACTTAAAATGTCCAAAGATAATCTTGAAATCTGTAAGAAGGGGCTGGCACTGTGGTGTAGCAGGTAAAGCTGTAGCCTGCAGTGTGGCATCCCATATGGATGACAGTTCAAGACCCAGCTGCTCCTCTTCTGCTCCAGCTCTCTGCTGTGGCCTGGGAAAGCAGTAGAAGATGGCCCAAATCCTTGGGCCCCTGCACCCATGTGGGAGACCTAGAGGAAGCTCCTGGCTCTGGATCAGCACAGCTCTGGCCATTGCAGCCATTTGGGAAGTGAACCAGCAGATGGAAGACCTCTCTCTCTGTCTCCTTCTCTTCGTGTAACTCTGACTTTCAAATAAATAAATAAATCTTTTAAAAAATGCAAGAAACAAATGAGCTATCACATACAAAGTATCATAGGATTATTATCAGATGTCCTGTAAGAAATGTTGGAGTTCAAAAGGCAGCAGGTTCATATATACAGAGTACTGAAAGAAAAAATTTTGTAACTGGCAAAACTGTCCTTCAAAAATGGAGGCAAAAATTAAGGTACTTCCAGATGAACAAAACCTGGGAGAGTGTTAGTACTAGAGTTCCCATGCCAAAAATGCTAAAGTGGGTCATTCAGGTAGAAGTGAAAAGACAATTAGGCAATAATTTGAAGCCAAGTGAACAATGATATCTACAAAATACATGAAATATATGAAAAGTAAATACATGAGCAAGTGTAAAAGTATTGTAATTTTGGCTTGTAGCTGCTTCCCCTGATACAAGAAGTAAATGCATAATTGTGTTCTGGGGCACACTGTATAAGATGTAATTGTGATAGTTTTTGTACACTAGTGAAATGAAGCTGAAAAAAATTCAAAACCATGGTGTGAACAACTTTAGGATTTTAAGAGAAATCTCAATGATAACCAGAAAGAAGATGGCTATAGAATATAAACAACACAAAATGATGAAAGATAATACTTAAATATAAAAAGTCAATTAAACATGAAGAAGATAATGCAGGGAGTTGGGAGCAAAGAAAGCTGTAGGACGTACAGAAAAATACCAAGGTGGCAGAACTCCGTCATCAATTACCTGAAATGTAAATGGATTAACCTACAGATGAGCAGAATGGGTTTAACAAAAACGTGATCCAACTATATCATATGTACAAAGGATTAATTTTATATCAAAAGATTCTATAGTTGAGAAAGAAAAGGTAAAATTATTCAAGCCAATAGTTGAGGACATGAGCTTAAAATCAGACAAAATAAGCTTTAGATCAAAATAGTTTCAGGGGACAAGGATGTCATAAAAGGTTCAGTATTGGTATAGCAATGATAAAAGTTTGTACATCTAATAAAAGATACTTAAAATGTGAAGCAAAGATTGAAAATTGAAGGGAGAAATTGTGTACAATAACACTGAGAGACTTCAGTGCCCCATTTTGAATAATAGAACATAAGTAAGGAAGTAGAAGACTTGAGGAGTACAGTAAACCAGAATGCCACAAAAGAAGTTGCCAAGGACTAATGTGCTCTGCTCTCCAAATTCATGTGTTTAAGCACTAATCCCTAATGTGGGTCCCCAGAGTGATAGGATTGGTGTCCCTAGAAGAGACACTGAAGATCCTCTGCTGTGTACAAAAGGTGATCTGAGCATGCAGTGAGTACTCACCTATCAGCCAAGAAGCGAGACTTTGCCAGAAACTGACAATGCTTGATCACGACGAATGGCTTCCTATTCTTGAACTTCCTAGCCTCCAAACTGCGAG